CAAAAAGTTGGTTGTGGTTATTTTTTAAAAAAATATTTAGAAACTCAACATAGCGGTTGGAACCCATCCGACAAACGACATAAACTTTGAATGTGACATCGCATTGATTTGAGAGCCCACCGATCAGTTTCCTACATAGGGTGTGGTATCGAATCTATACAACTGCATTTATAAGTGTTTATACAAATATACAGTAACAGCAACCACAGGTAACCCCAAATTAAATTTGTTTATAATTAATACGATTTAATTTTATCGAGTGCGGTGTTGTAAATGTCAACTCCGTAATTGATAGATGCACTACATAACGTGGTAAATGCACTACATAGCATGATAAATGCACTACATAACATGGTCAATGCACTACATAACATGGTAAATGCACTACATAACATAGTGAATTCACTACATAACATAGTAAATGCACTACACAACATCGTAAATGCACTACACAACATGATGAAAGCACTACACAACATGATGAATGCACTACACAACATGATGAATGCACTACACAACATGATAAATGCACTACATAACATGATAAATGCACTACATAACATAATAAATGCACTACACAACATGATAAATGCACTACATAACATGATAAATGCACTACATAACATGATAAATGCAATACATAACATGATAAATACACTACATAACATAGTAAATGCACTACACAACATCGCAAATGCACTATATAACATGGTAAATGCACTACACAACATGATAAATGCACTACACAACATGGTAAATGCATTACACAACATGATAAATGCACTACATAACATGGTAAATGCACTACACAACATGATAAATGCACTACACAGCATGATAAATGCACTACATAACATGATAAAGGCCACTACATAACATAGTAAATGCACTACACAACATGATAAATGCACTACCTAACATGGTAAATGCACTACACAACATGGTAAATGCACTACATAACATGGTAAATGCACTACATAACATGGTAAATGCACTACACAATAAGGTAAATGCACTACATAACATGATAAATGCACCGCATGACATGGTAAATGCACTACATAACATGATAAATGCACCGCATGACATGGTAAATGCACTACACAATATGATATTGTACGACTTAAGATAGCTGTGGCTTTCCATATGTTTGCATTCTAAACACTGTGAAACGAGCAAATGTACAGCGATTAGCTGCCGTGAGGCAATTGGTGTAGTCTCACAGGGAGCCAATGACTGAGTCGGGGGGGGGGCTAAAACGTGGAATTCTTAGTACCTGTAGACGGTAGAAGGGGGAGCGGTAATTAAAATAGAGTGTGCCAACATAAGTCATAAAACAACAACATAATTGTCTCTCGCTGTATCGCCGATAACTGGTTTAACGCATATTCAGTTTCTGCTTGAAATCGGCTGCGAGACTTTCAACTCCCGGGGTGACACTGTTTACGATTTTATTTGATTTTCAGATAAAAAAAAATAATCATCAATATTGTATATTCTTGCCCAGTGTAATCGTTAGTTACATTGACGCACAGGTACAAGGTCACATTGCTTTACCTGACAGCTATCAAACAATAGAAGAACAACGTAGAGGGCATAACACTCGTGATAATAAAACGCGTACTTGATGTTGATTGTTCGTTGTTAGAAGGGACGGGGCGTTGGAAAAAATTGGGAGGCATGACTTTCGTGAAAAAAACACACAAATATATCGCTACAATGGGCTTACATAAAGTCAGAGGAATAACACGTAGATAGGACGTAAATGGCGCGGTAATGGTTCAAATGATGGTGTTATGAGGCCGAATAGTTATTTTTTAATAGTTTTTATTTCGAGAACCAGCTCTTAACTTAAAGTTGAAAACTGTATTTTACATTTCTGTATTATTTATAATTAAAGAACCAAACCATACTACTTCTCCTTAAGTTATTAATTGATGTCACTGATTTTATTTAGTATTGTAACATGTATGTCAAATATTCTGATTGAATTCAGACTCCCCGGTCCGGTATGATAACCATGAATTGGATGAATACTAAAGAGTCGAGTGTATCTGCAATGCTATTAACGTCCGGTCCACTGTAAAACAACATTCCTTTAATCTGGATATCGGTGGTGTATGAAGTTATTTCACATTCATTCATCAAAGATTATGTCTGGCTTTGAATCACCCAGGGACACAGGCGGCGCCATGGTTTGGGTGACGAAAAGGGACCGTTTTGTTTTCAAATGAGGAAGAAACTGCACTCTAACTTACAGATCAATAATAGATGTCGTCGTGGGAGAACAAACTCGGTCTGTAAGATGGATTTATAGAATTTCCTCTGTATGGTTCTAGAACTCCTTCTGGGTGTTCTTAGTTTTGCGGTTATCATCCATGATAATTACCGCGAAATCATACAATAGTGTGATGTCATGATTTTGTTCTAATCTACCTTATAAATGCTGATGGAAACAAAGTGGTTTTTTTCTTGAATGCATGTTTGTTAAAAATTTAAAACACTTGAACTATAATTCTTATATTAAACACCAACAACTGTGATACAATAAGTACAATAATGTAATTGTAATGTAATGTGCAAAGCAGAACAAATCAACGTTGGAGGCGATATCACTTCTTGTTGGGACGCGGATATGCTGGTGTTCCAGGTAGTGAAGTGTGGGAGAATCGTGTGGTGTGTTGACTTGAACTTGATTATATTAGAATGCAAGGAGAGATGAAGAAGAAAACAGTCATTTTATGCCTGGCTTCATGTCCGGAATCAATTGAACTCTGAGGTTTGGTAGTTTATTAGGATATGTCTAATTATTTGACAATTACCAAAAAATTAATCAAAAAAGTGAATTTCTCATGGCTTATTCACATTGAGTATTTGTATGACTTGTTAACAGACCAATGCCATACACTTATTTTGATAACAGCTTCCAGAGGTCTGGCGATATTTACAATTTTGCTGTTTGTTTTCTGTACTGCCGATGATGAAAATTAGGTTTAAAGTTTGCATCTGTGAGAGTGCGTCTATCGATCTTGAATTCATCAATTGGATATTGAGTCTTTCCATCGATCGCCATCTCACTTAAAATCTTCCCAAGTAAACACGTAAATCTGCCAAAAAAATACAACATTTTAACATAGAAAGTCATTATAGTAATATAAAAAATAAGAAGGTCACACTGTAACAAATATATTTTTTTCAATAGTCTTGAGAGACCGATCGCATTGGCATCGGCTTATTTGTAATACTTACTTGTATGCATGCCCAGCACCGATACATACAATCACCTGTGGCAGATCTTTATTCGACAGAGAATCTACGACAAAGTTTCTATCTGGTGGAATCGTGTAAAGACACGTCTTGCTATACAGTGTTGGACCAATAGCCTATGGATTAAATAAATAACAATAATGTCATATCAAATACATCCAAAACACTGGGCGATATATCTGAAGTAATTTAATCTTGCTACGTACGTTTCCGTGTTATTTATGCGCTATTTCTATAAATCGCGCCCTCTAGTGTTGGGATGCTTCTGTGACGTCAAAATGACGTAATGGACGAAGACAATGTCACTCAAATCACAGTCGTGATAGAGGGACTGTGTTCAAATCAACAACTAGGCCTGGTTGTGTTCATCATGTAGAATTGGTAAAATCTCCCAAAAACATATAGACTATATAGATCAAAGACGATTCGACAATTTGAACGACTTTCGTGTTACCCAATTACGTCACAAAAGCGCTTCTCATTAGAGGGCGCAATTTATAGGACAGTTATATTGACTTTGACTCAATTAACAAGTGGTAATAATTCGAAGAGTAAGTCAAGAGTAAGTCTCACCTTTGGAAGATATCTCTCGAAGAACTTAATACAGATTTGCTCTTTGATGGGATCGGGTTCGAATGTTCTGGTTTCCGGGGTAACAACTGCATCACACGCATCTATTCCAATTTTACTGCCAGTATTTCCGTGTAGTGGTAGTCCATAAAGGTCCCATTTGGGGTCGTGATACAGCCACACAGGGAAACTGTAAAAGATACAATGTAATGTCGAATTAACGACATTGTTATTCCATCCCTGATTTTGCCAAAATTCACTAAAAAATTATACTGTAAAATGACTAATTTTAGTAACTGGGTTTCAATTTCACTGATTTAGCATTTCAGGCATATTCAATGGATTTTAAATTCACGGTTTTATCATTTAGATAATGTGTTCTATGTTATATTTTACATATTCATTTCACTGGGTTTTAATTTAGCGTACTTTCCAGTCAGCGAAATAAGCAAAATTAAATGCAACCCAGTGAATATTTAACCATTTTACAGTATATTTGAAAAAAATGAACCCTTTCTTTTCAGGTATGTTATGTTATTTTTTTGTTCCACTTTGCAAGAATTGTATTTATTATTGTAATGTTATATCTTGTTACAGACGAAAAGCCTGAAATGTTATAATAAATATATGCAGAAAGATACTTTCTTTGTGGATAAGTGCAGGGGGGTTTCTGTCACTTAAGAGAATTATATTTTTGAGCCATTGCGTCAGTAGACTAATGTCTTCCTTGAAAGTTACTGTTTAGTCCGAGAACACAGTGTCAGTGGGCAACAAATCGTGAATAAAATATAATGTTCAGTAATCCGATTTTAATATTATATTTCCTCTATGTCTGACTCCTCAATTAAGGCTATACGTAATGTAAAAGTATATACTTGTCTTTTGTGAATTCTTTCATGTTTGGTGTAGCAAGATATGTGACTTGTTCCTGAGTAACAGTCAGAGGGATGTGTATACCAACAGAACCCAGAACGTGATTGGACCATGCACCAGCTGTGACGATGATACGGCGACAACGAAACACGCCTTGATTGGTGTACACCTGAAATGAACAATATTAATGTTGGTGTGTGAAATCGAACCAGTACATATTCAGTTGAGAAGGCGGATTGGTTTCATATCATGTTTATATCATATTTATATCATGTTTATATCATGTTTATATCATATTTATATCATGTTTATATCATATTTATATGTGTAAAGTCAACGTTCCCAACCCCTGTAATCCGAACACAGAAAGGCATACGGAACAACTTTCAGTAAAAATCATTAATCAACTTCAATTAGGCCAAATTAAAAGGAATCTGTTGATTTATATTCGTTTCGATAAAAAAAATTGCCGCATCATATTTCTATCGTCAATTTACGGTTACTTGTTGGCGTATGTCATACTACCCTGTCATGTTGCACATACTAGTACACTCACCAAGGCGTGCACACCATCTTTATCTTTCTCTATTTTCTCAACTTTACAGTTTTCCCGAATCGTCGCGCCATGTTTTCTCGCTAATTGTATATGAGTAGCGTTAGCCATGGCAGCATCTACCAGACCAGAGTTCTTGTCGTATAAACCAATTACATTAGAATCTGTTTGAAACTGTGGAAAACGTTGACGAATTTCGTTTCCGTTTAAAAGTTCATATCTATGGATAAAGAAAACAGAAATTTCGCGAGTGAGCTTAGTGTTAACATCATTATAATCACATTGTGGTATATTCTAAATAGCTTGTTTTCATGACAACGAGACCTAAGTCTCAACAAATGTAACGAGCATCCATTACCCATTTGTTTTTAGTTATAAAATATCTCCAAATTGTTTCCATGGCAACTAGATCCACATTTCTAACAAAATACTCAATATTATCATTTACCGAATACGGCATAAATTTATAAATTAGATACGCGAATGTAAATGTATTACAAATGATCAAAACAGAACGGTATACCAAGTCTCTTATTTTATACTCACGGAATATTTTGTTTATCCATTGACTTGGCATGTTGTTGCAGTAAATGTTTTCCTTGAGGTTCATCGTTTCTAGCAAATTCCAACCCACCGCATTTATACACCAACTTAATACCCGATTCTTTCTCAACCTCGTCAAATGCCGTATACGTGTGTCTGACTAACTTCGTGTAACAATCGTCATGGTAGATCAATCGTCTAAATATTCAGTAAAAATAACAGAAAATATCTCCGAAATCTCAGAGTGTAGAATATGATATAGTCATTGTTGAAACACAAATTCAACATGTGGCATGAAGGCAAGCGTGACTATTATGAAAAATTGAAAATAGCGTTAAATAATAGTTCAGCCAAATGTCCTCGACAGCAACACGTGTATGTATATATATATATATAATATACTTGGTCAATAACAAAGCATGGCATTGAGGCCGTATGCACTGAATAACAGATTATAAAAACAATAACTTCCAGTGTGGATATACGTTAATCGATTTGCTTTCTGTATTAAACGACTATATAATAGATCAGTATATGTAGTGTGTGGACACAAGAGGCAAGTTGCTGCCAAACACAAATACTCAATTATTTGAAATATGAAATTTATTAAACTTACAAATCGGTAAATAGAAGCATACGTCAGCTATGATGAAATAACTATATTAAACCAATAAGTATGTAAGAAATACTTACATGATACGAGAATGGTCCTGTGAACCGCCATTGTCATGACCCAATTTAAACTGCTCCAAACCCAGAACGCCTGCAGTAGGGAAGCAAATATATTTTATTTCAGAATCCGACTGACAATCACACACTGTATATTATATAGTATCTCTTCAAATGTTCAAACAGAATGCTAATATATTGTATGTATGCAAATTATTTAAGTACAGAAGTAATGTATATGTCATTATATTATATAAGTGAAAATATGTTTATTTACCAGAACCATTTAAAATTTAACTGAATACTATGTTGCACTCAATAATATGCAAATCACCAATTAATATACACACAAACTCAGCAAAACCCATTTATACAACTTCAATATATCCTTGCATGCGACGTCACCGTAATATAAACACGTGACATAATATTTCAATGGGACACCACATCACCCAATAATGGTACTGTACATGTAGTTTTTAAACTTTGGACACACCGTGTTTGTTAATGGTATTATGGTCAGTGGCGGCGGCACGGGGAGGAGGGGGAGGGAGGGTCGCCCTTTGAAAAATGTTGCCCCCCCCCTAATCAAGCTGAGACCCTTGTATGTCAGCAAAATTTGCCTCTCAAAATGCAAGAAACAACGTTTCAGAGGGTCTATGCCCCCCTGACCCCCCTCCCAAGAAAGAAATTCGTGCCGCCGCCTCTGATGGTTTAGATTGTGGAGCATCGAGTTTTAAACTGGATTTGATTCAGTTATACACTGGCCAAGTAATTGACAGGAGTAGTGAATTAGTAGCAATGTCACAGAGGGATGTTTTTCTGAAGTAACAAGTGCCAAAACCATAGTGTTATTCGCCGTAAGTCCCCGCTGCTAAATGTTATCAGGTGTTTTTCAATGCTGTCATAGTTTTGAGAGGGTAGAGTTATTTCAGGCAGTGAAATCTACAGCAACTAGCCTGATCATACAGAATATATGTTTATGCCGATTTGTGCCAGCTTTCTGACACCTGTGGATATCCTCATTGGAGTTAAAATGCCAAATTGCTAAAAAGGTTGATTTGGGCAGAGGACATTCATGATTGCACAGAATGTGTGTGCTGTGGATGAGATCTATTATAATATGTAATTATGTGACCAAGGAGATACCGCAAATGTGTCACTCAGTAGGTCATCAGCCTTTGCACCCTGGGTGACCTTGACAGTGACATGTCACCCCACATTTCAGTACCAAGAATCCAGATCCCTTTTTGAAATCTGCAGGGAATGATGGCGTTCTTTACTTGGAGGAAATGACAGTGACAATCATTTCCACAAAACTGGTTCCTGGGCAGAGGGACCGCGATTGATGGGTTGTTTGACCTTTCTGGGATAATCAAATCGTTTAAATAGGACTGAGTCTTGCCTAAACTTTGGAACCTAGCAGGGTAATATGTCTTCATGTTGATATATAGATGATGGTGTCTCTTGTTTGGTATTACGCATTCCGCAGTCAACCAAATTAATAGTCATCAAATGATATGAGACATAACACAATTGAAGCCCTCGTGTTCAGAGATTAACAAAAAATAACATAATATGTATTTTGGTAAAACGGATAGAGAAGAAACTGTAAATCACACAAACACACAAACTGCCACAATGCGCACAGACACACCATAAATAAATCGAAGAACGTATCAGACACCCACTATATACCCAGGCATAACACAAATGCGCCCATTCACCCCCGCCAATGCACCTTGTCTCGCGCTCTTTGACAACCAATATACTGCGGCGCTACCAATTCCACCACATCCAACCACGATGTACTCGAAATACTGGGGCTCCGATCCAGGCATGTTGCACACTGCAGGATTGATTACAACTGCGGAAAACTAATCAGCAATGGCAGTATAAAGTCGGCAATGAGTTCACTGGGAGGTGACGGTGTCTTGTGACCCATCAGACGGATGTTCAAGGTCACCTTATGGTCACCCTATGTTGAACGCTCCACCAAGCAAAACGTCAGTTTCAAGTTATAATGCAACCACCATAGTGTACTTTATAGAGCGAGTTAACGATCATTATACCTGTTCTAATTTAAATAGTATTGGCTAAAATTGAATATAGGGATGGGCAGACTGAAGCATGAACTATTTTTAAAGTGAAATTAGAATTAGGAAATTTAAAAAGATGCATAATCAATCTTTGAGTTTTGGGCATATCTTATTCTACTTAATAGTTTGAGTGTATGCCCAAAGTTACTATTTGTGCAGTGTCAGTGCTTCTAGTGGGTCAACACTATGTATTATACCTTATTTTTGAATGACAAAATATTTAAACAATTAGTTCATCAAGCGTTCAAATGTCTAAGAAGCATTCAGATTTATTGTATTGGACCCCTGAGCGTTCAAAGTCTGCCAAGCAGGTATTAGTTGCCAGACCTAGCAGAGAGCCTTTCAGCCTACCAGCTTGTATGCGTGTCTGTACGTAATACCTTTTCGGTGATTCGTTTTTTTTCCAGATCAAAATTTATCAAATTTGATATGATGGTCACGCCTGTACGTTAGTTATGAGAAACAAATCTCCTCCTATGGAAGTACTATGAGCAGCGTGAACGATAACTAAAGTTAAATTGGAATAAACTGTGGCAAAGACTGGATGGGATTTAATCCAGTTTATATATTGATAAGGCCACACTGATTAAATTTTATGGATGAAATCCTCTGAAGACCCCACAACTAATGCGAGAGGGCGAAAAAAAAATCGGCCAAAAAAAAATGCTGCTAAAACCACAGGACTATTATTACGAATTTAACCACAGTGTATCAAAAAAACAACAAGTCTTTATTTGTAGGAGGCACATGCTGATGTACACATTTCGTACTGTATTACTGTCACAGGTATCATCACCTTTGATTTTGAAAAGGCAATAGGGTAAGGCAGATGTTAGCTTTGCCAAAGGCATATACATCAACTCAATAATAAAGAAAAACTTGTGTTGTATTTGTGAGACATGAAATTGAACACAGCGCCCTCTTGAGACGATTTTTGGTAATTTTGAGATTTTTCTGTGAAATGATTTTTCTGACATTGTGAAGTGCCCTGC